GTTTTGTTTTGTTTTGGTCTGCCTATTCCTTCAGCCTCCCATGCTGGCATCCTCCTGACCCTGGACCTGACAGTTCATGGTTGCAGGACAATTCCTACTAGAGTCCTACTGATCAGAATCCCAGGCTTCTTTGGTCACTACAAGCCACAGAAATGTCTCGCAACTAGTCAGGAAATCATTTGCTTCAGTCTGGCTGGCACAATGTAGGTCCCCAGGCTATCACTCCTGGGCCTGTACTGAGCATATTTTGGTCTGCTGTGTTTTGAAGAGGGTGCTGATCGGTTCAGATCTGCCCTGACCAAAATGGATATACTAGCTCTGTGTGTCGGTAGAGCACTTGAATGGCGGCGACGGGTCTGAATTGTTTGCTTTGCAAAAATGTAGTACTAAATCTCAGAAATTTAACTCTCTGTGTGTTTTGGTTTTGGTGGTATTGGGGACTAAGAACACTAAACAAGTGTTCTAGTACTCTACCACTGAGATGCAGCCTCAGAATCTTCAGCAACCTCAGCATCCTTAGCAGCATCCTCAGCTCCCCAGCAGTGGCCTCATCCGTGGCCTCTTCCTCCTCATCATTATCGTCATTGCTATTTTACTTTTTATTTTGAAACAGGGTTGTCTGACTGGGCTTGCATGCCTCCTAACCCTGACAGACCATGGACTTGTGATTTCCCCTGCTGAAGAAAATCCTTCCCAGGTGCAAGGAGTAAAAGCCTGTATCACCATGTCTGTCTTTAAAAATGATTTTTATGTTGACAAAATGTTGAATAATTAAGTTGCTGTTCCTTTATGTGTGTATGTGGGTTTTGTTGTTGTTGTTTGTTTTTTGGAGACCGGGTTTCATGTAGTCTACATTGGCCCAAACTTGATTTTGTGTCTGGGAATGAACTTAAACTGCTGATCTTCCTGCCTCTACCACTTAAATGCTGAGGTTACTGTATTATGCTTTAAATTTGTTTTGTTTGGTTTTGTTTTTCGAGACAAGGTTTCTCTGTATAGCCCTGCCTGTCCTGGAACTCACTTTGTATACCAGACTAGTCTTAAGCTCACAGAGATCTGCCTCCTCTATGTTGGAGTGCTGGGATTAAGGGTGTGTGACACCACCCGAGAAGCTTTTTTTTTTTTTTAATAGCATTTGTTTAATTTTATTTACATATGTATAACTGTGTTTGTATATGTGCACCCTGTCACACACACACACACACACACACACACACACACACACACACACACCTACAACTAAATAAGGGAAAAATTTATTTTGCCTGTTTGATTTTACTTTCCTACTATGCTTATTGAAAAACTTAGTCAGGCGGTGATGTGTGACTGCTTTCTGTTTCTTTTTGAGAACTCTGGCTCAGATAAAACAGCCTCTATTTCCAGAACTTGAGAAACACAGACTCCTGAACCAAATCATGGGTTATTATTATTATCATTAGAAAAAGAAATAAGTTTTCTGCTTTAAAAATAATCAAGCCAGGCGGTGGTGGCGCACGCCTTTAATCCCAGCACTTGGGAGGAAGAGGCAGGCAGATCGTCGTGAGTCTGAGACTAGCCTGGTCTTCATAGATAAAAAAAAAAAAAAAAAAAAAAAGAAAGAAAGAAAATTAGTTCATCATACTTATTAATAGCTACTTATCAGAGACAATGAGTGGGAGGTAAACTGTGTGGGGCTATGCATGTGTGCGCATTTGCGTGGAGATGGGCTGGGCTAGGTGGTGGGTGTGAAAGCAATTGCCTACTGGGTGGGGGAGATAAAGCTTGCGGGCCTGCCAGTGGTGCAGATAAAGGCTGCAGGATTGCAGATGCCGAAGAGGTTCTGCCTCCCGAGGAATGAAAGGCCGGTATGAGCTGAGCCTTGATGATGACAGATGAGGTTTCCTCAAAAGAAGTTGGGCAAGCCAGTCACGGTGGTAGCACCTGGCATCCGGGAAACTTGGGAGGTGGAGGCAGGGGGACCAATTCAAGGTCAGTGTCAGCTATATAGCAGGTTTGAATATAGTGGCCTGGGCTACATAAGAGCATATTTCAAAAAAAAACAAAGCTAGCTGGGTGTAGTGGCGCATGCCTTTAATCACAGTGCTTGGGAGGCAGAGGCAGGCAGATGGATTTCTGAGTTTGAGGCTAGCCTGGTCTACAGAGTGAGTTCCAGGACATCCAGGGCTACAAAGTGAGACCCTATCTCTGGGGGAAAATTAATAATAAATGAAAAAGGGGTGGCTCAGGAGAATTCTAGTCAATAGAAACTGGAGGTTTTTTTGTCTTTTTGTTTGTCTTTTCAAGACAGGGCTTCTCTGTGTAGCTTTGGAGCCTGTCCTGGAACTCACTCTGTAGACCAGGCTGGCCTTGAACTCACAGAGATCCACCTGCTTCTGCCTCCCAGTGCCACCACTGCCCAGTGGTTTTTTTTTTTTTCTTTCTTTCTTTGTCTTTAAATAAATAAATACCTTACTTTGTTTTGTTTTTAGATAGGCTCTCTTGGAGCACAGACTGGCCTCAAGCTAGTTTCTAGCTGAAGCTGTCCTTGAATCACTGACCCTCTTCTCCCTCCCTGGTAGGACTGCAGGAGCATGCAGCCCCACTCAGTTTAAACTGAGTTTTAGTTTAGCTAAGGTTGCAGGAGAGAATGAAGCTAGTGTTCCTATGGTCTCTTTGTTGCCCTATCTGGGCACCAGAAAAAGTCACCCAACCTAGCTAACGTTCTTACAGCAGTGATGTGAGCCCTAGTGGTAGTCCTATTCTGGAATGGCTCTTGGGAACATTTATTAGAGTCACGAGCTACAGTAAACACCTTTTATGACCTAAACTAAGGATCCTAATCGAGTGAGTTCAAACTTCCTTAGGGAGCATTCAGAGGTTGGGCAAGCACAATGTAATTTTTGGTAGTACACTGGCTTCTAGTCCTACCTGTGATGTCTGTACAGTTTCAAGTTTCCCTGTGTGAAATGAGAATAATGAATATGACAATAATACCTGCTTCATGGAGTTATTACGAAGATTTAATGAGTTATGTATGTAAAGTTCTTAAACACATCCTATCTGCACAGAGTGTGTGCTCTAAAGCACGTGCTGAGATGTTGGGCGTGATGGTATACACCTTCAACAATCCCAGCACTCAGGAGGCAGAGGAAGGCTGATTTCTGTAAATTCGAGCTCAGCCTGCTGACATAGTGAGTTTCAGGTCAGCCAGGGTTACATGATGAGAACTTGTCTCCCAAAAAAAAAAATTGTTTTTGAAAAAAAAAAAATGACCTGTTATTGTTAACCATACACATCTAGGCAGCTAGGAATTTACATGAAAACATATCTACCTTTCCCAAACACCATCTGAATTAATAACCATGTGTATAAAGACAATTATGGGCTGGAGAGATGGCTCAGAGGTTAAGAGCACTGCTTGTTCTTCCAAAGGTCCTGAGTTCAATTCCCAGCAACCACATGGTGGCTCACAACCACCTGTAATAAAAATCTGGTGTCCTCTTCTGGCCTGCAGGGATACCTGCAGACAGAACACTGTATACATAATAAATAAATAAATCTTTAAAAAAGTAAATAAAGCCGGGCGGTGGTGGCGCAGGCCTTTAATCCCAGCACTCGGGAGGCAGAGCCAGGCGGATCTCTGTGAGTTCGAGGCCAGCCTGGTCTACAGAGTGAGTTCCAGGAAAGGTGCAAAGCTACGCAGAGAAACCCTGTCTCGAAAAACCAAAAAAAAAAAAAGTAAATAAAATAAAGTCAATTATATTGTCAGGCATGGTGACACAGATTTGTAATCCCAGTACTTGAGAGAAGGAGGCAGAAAAATCACAACTTCTAGGTCAAAAGAAAGACAGGGTGCCGGGTGGTGGTGGTGGCACAGGACTTTGATACCAGCACTAACGAGGCAGAGGCAGGCTGATCTTTGGAGTTCAAGGCCAGCTAGCTTGGTCTACAGAGTGAGTTCCATGACAGCTACACAGAGAAAACTTGTCCCCAAACAACAAATGACAATTAAAAAAAAAAAAAGAACCCAGGACCACCAGCCCAGGGGTGTCCCCACCCACAACAGAATCTCTCGCATAGATCACTAGTTAAGAAAATGCGCTGCAGGCTTCCCTGCAGCTGGATCTTCAGGAGGCGTTTTCTCAGTTAAGTTCCCTCTTCTCAGACGACTGTAGCTTGTGTGGACATAAAACTAGCCCGTACAAGCCTGTATCAAGGAACTAGGGTAAAGAGTGGTAGAGCAGAAAACCCGATGCTCTTCTCATTCAAACCACCACACACGTAAAATAAATAAAAAAATAAAAAAATAAAATCTGGGTTTAGTTGTTAAACATGTCATCTCCAGAAAAAGGGGAAAGGCAATGAGCTTGATGTATACCAGGGTATTGGGAACTGATGGTGTGCTGTGGGTTTTAGTATCTGTACGGACCAGAACACACAAGCAACGTTTTCCCCCCTGAAATATCACATTTTATTTGTTTTTTAAATTTTAATTAATTAACATTTTTTTTCCCATTTATTTTACATAACGACTACAGTTTCCCTTCCTTCCTCTCCTCCTGGGTCGTCATCGTGGTGCCCCGTCCCCTCCAACCCCTCCAAGCAACTTTTTATTTAGAAGGCATCCAAAGCTTGCTTGGGTGCTTGGCAACGAGCTGTTGTGGACAGGGACCCAGGTGGCCATGACACTAGGAGCAGGGGGCACTGGCCATCAAGAGTTCGCCTGAAACCGGGCGGTGGTGGCGCAGCCTTTAATCCCAGCACTCGGGAGGCAGAGCCAGGCGGATCTCTGTGAGTTCGAGGCCAGCCTGGTCTACAGAGCGAGATCCAGGACAGGCACCAAAGCTACACAGAGAAACCCTGTCTCGAAAAACAAAAACAAATAATAATAATAATAATAATAATAATAATAATAATAATAAAATAAATAAATAAAATAAAATAACCTTTTTTTTTTTCCCTTAGCAGAATATGTGTTTTCAGTGACCTGGGACGCCTGGGCTCAAATTACCTGGGATCCAAGCAGTGCTGGGAAGAGAACAGGAACCCTGTGGATATCGGTGGGACTTGTTGAGAAATTCAGAGTCAGCTTGTCACAGCCCGGGGCCTCTTTCCATGCTACACACTGGCAGACGCCCTGCCACCAGAAAAGCTGGCATCCAATGCATGCTACAGGCATTTCCACCTGCTCTTTAAATACATTCTTTTTTGAGACAGGGTTTCAATATACAGCCAGGCTGGCCTAGGACTGTGTAGTCCAAGCTGACCTTGAACTGGCAAGCCTCCCTTCTCTGCCTCACAGGTGCTAGGATTACGGGAATGCTCTACCAAGCTTGGCCTCTATTGACTTTCTCAATGTTGGCCGCAGCTTCCCTATTCCTTGAGAGTTCTGCAGGAGAAATCCCAAAGACAACCAATTCTGTATTAAACAACTGTCGGTATTTTTTAGGAACCTCCTTCTAACTTCAGGATCTCAGCCAACTGCTTTCCGAAGTCCCTGTTCCTGGCAGAAAGACAAATTGTGTACTGAGATCCATGCTGGCCTTCAGCTATAGCGGGAAGTTCACGCCTGGAATGGGGTCAGAGGTTTCAGAGATGAGGTTCTTGATTTGTTCCATTTTGAGAGAGAAGCATCTTCTTTTTGTAGTCCAGGCTAGCCACAAACTTGCAGTCTTCCTAATTCACCCTTTTTCGTGCTGGTATTATAAGCATATGCTACCATACCAGGCTCTTAGCCTGGGCCCTACAGTTTTGGTTGGTCTCAAACTCACTGTGTAGCTTAGGGTGCCTTTGAAGGTCTGACCCTTTAGTGCTGGGATTAAAGGCAATATTGTTTGGAGACGGACTATGTGGGCCCTGGCTAGAATTTGCTATGTAGACCAGTCTGGCCAGGAATTCAGAGATCCTCCTGCCTCTGCCTTGCTAGTGATGGGATTAAAGACGTAGGTCACCACACTTGGACAGAATTGCTGTTCAGACTCATCTTGCCTTTTAGAATCATATGGAAAAGCAAGGATCAAGAAAAGTCGCTTTTGCCCTGTGCCGCTGCTGCCCCCAGCGGCCGGAGGCGGGAGCGCGGGCAGGTGGCTCCCGGACTCCCGGGCCGCAGTGACTTTCCACTAAGCTGCGCCGCTGAGCCCTTTTAAATGCCTTTCTTTGCACGTGGTTGCTGTGAGTCATCTCCTTTCCCTAGACAAAGAAATCTAGGCTTTGCTAATCGGGTTTCCGGAGTCCGCTAAGGCGTGAGTCAAACTCGTGCTTCCCGAGAGCTGTAACCGTTTGCTCCTCTCCCAGGGGAAGCGCCCGTTGCACGGGTGCAAATCTGCGTTTCTGTGGAGTCTGGGACCAAAGGACCCACGCGGTGAGTGAGGCAGTGGAACCCCAGCTCAAGAAGAGAGGAGCTTGTGTGAGCTTTAAAAATACGTTCCTAAAAAAAAAAAAAAAAACCACAACATTCCTTCTTTGGGCAGGCGAGATGGCTCCTGGCTCCACGGGTAAAGGCGCATGCGTAAATCCTGACACCTGCGATCAGCCCCATGAGAAGGCGGGAACCGATTTCAACAAGTTGTTCTCTCACCTTCACACAGGTTTAAAATAAATAAGTAAATATCTAAATAGTGTTGTTAGCTGGGCAGGGTGGAGCATGCTTGTAATCCCAGCACTTGTGAGATGAACCCAGAAGGATCAGGAGTTCAAGGCCAGCCATGATTACATAGTCTCTGCTGAGTGTTAGGCCATTACATGAGACTCTGTCTCAAAACAGAAAAACGTGGTTATTTTAAAAACCTAATAAATAAGTAAATAAGTAAATGAATAAATAAAATAAGAAATAGGGCATTATACGGGGTTAAGGAAGTGGAGGAAGAGGCAGAACAGAGGGACATCCTCCAGGGAAAGTAAATGTGGGCCATTTGGCAAGCCCCCGTGGCTGCTGTGAATATCAACAAGAGCCACTTTGTCCCCACAGTGCCACTTTACAGCCCAGCCAAGCGGGTGTGGGCACTCAAAACCCAGTGCCAGAGAGACCTGCTGTGGCCTTCTCAGCCATCAGGCAGTTCTGGGTTGACCCTGAGTTGTTGTTTTTCTATTTCTTCCTGATTTTTTTTTTTTTTTTAAATTCTCAAACATTTTAACTAAAGAAAGGATCCAGGCCTGGTGGCACACGCCTGTAGTCCCAGCATTTGTGAGGTAGAAGCAGGAAGGTCAGGGACTGAAGGCCAGCCTTAGAGGTATGAGACCCTGTCTCAACAAGATGAAATAAAAATACCACAGAGAAAAAAACCTAATCCTTCCTTCACCGTTCATGAATGATGTTAACATTTTGCTCCGTGTTCATAGTTGTTAGTTTTTTCCCCCAGTAAATCTGTTTTATTAAAGCAAAAAATGGAATCACCATAATCAAGAAAAACAAACAAACAAACAAAAAAACACATGGGAATACAGAATGTCTGCTCATGAGGGCTGATTAAAAAAAAACCAAAACTTCTAAATTGCATTGTGTGCGTGCATGCGCGCGCTTGCATGCTGAAGCACATACCAGGTGAAGTGTTGAGAACAGAGAACAGTTTATGAGAATCACTCCTCTCGTGGAGCCTGGGATGGGACTCAGGTGGTCAGGCATTACAGCAAGTATCTTTACCCATGTAATCATCTCCCAGCTCCTCACACAAGCATTATTTTTTTTTTTTTTTTTTTTTTTTTTTTTTTTTTTTTTTTGGTTTTTCGAGACAGGGTTTCTCTGTGTAGCTTTGCGCCTTTTCCTGGAACTCACTTGGTAGCCCAGGCTGGCCTCGAACTCACAGAGATCCACCTGGCTCTGCCTCCCAAGTGCTGGGATTAAAGGCGTGCGCCACCACCGCCCGGCCACACAAGCATTATTAACAACTGCCTCACACTAGAAAAACCTGAGTATGCCCATCAAGGGATAAGTGTATAAACAAAAATGGTATGACAGAAGGGGACAGGCTGTGACATTAAGATCCTGTGAGAAAAATGTCAGCCACAATGGCTCTTCTCCTAAAGGATCCCATTGCACCAGCTGTCCACCATAGCAAATCTGCAGACATGGAGGACGAGTGGTTGTCGGCGCTGGGGGAAGGGAAGCCAGTGACTGCTGGGGGAGGTAAGGCTTCTGCCTGCCGCACTGAGATATGCTGGAATTAGAAACCTGATAGCTGTGCAATCCGGGACCATAATAAAAGCCACTGGAGTCTCACTGTGTGTGGGGCTGAGCTTGGACCAGAGCCTTCCACATACTAGACAAACATTCCACCCTCAGTTACACCCCTAATTTTATTTTATTTTATTTAAAAGATTTATTCATTATATATACAGTGTTCTGTCTGCATGAATACCTGCAGGCCAGAAGAGGGCACCAAATCTCATTACAGATGGTTGTGAGCCACCACCATGTGGTTGCTGGGAATTGAACTCAGGACCTCTGGAAGAACAACCAGTGCTCTTAACCACTGAGCCATCTCTCCAGCCCTACACACCCAATTTTAACTGTATACTTTCAAAGGGTGAGTTGTGTGGTATGTGAATTAAACCTCAGTAGTCACTACAAAAAGTAATGACACTGTGACATATTATGATTAGTCCTCCAATATTCCCAATAATTATTCTTCCTAACATTTTTACATTTTAATTACCAAAGTAACTCCAATGTCTTGTAAAATATTAATGCAGAGGAAAGAAAATTAGAAAGCATCTTCCTCTGTCCAACTTTAATATACAGAAAATCCACTTAAGATAATTTTTTTTTTTAAAGATTTATTTATTTATTATGTACACAGTGTTCTGCCTACATGCATGCTTGCAGGCCAGAAGAGGGCACCAGATCTCATTATGGATGGTTGTGAGCCACCATGTGGTTGCTGGGAATTGAACTCGGGACCTCTGGAAGAGCAGCCAGTGCTCTTAACCTCTGAGCCATCTCTCCAGCCCCACTTAAGGTATTTTTAAAACTGTGTTTATTTTAGTACTAGGGATCAAACCCTTGAGTGTGTTAGATGAACACGTATCTTAGTTACAGGTCTATTGCTGTAAAGAGACACCGTGACCATGACAACTTATAGAAGAGTTTGTTGGGGCTGGCTTCTAGTTTCAGAGGGTGAGTAATTGACCATCATATCATCGTAGAGAACATGACAACAGGCAGGAAGCCCAGGCAGGCAGGAAGCCTGCTACTTGCACAGTAGCTGAGAACTTATATCTTACCTGCAAGTTGGAGGTAGAGACAGAGACAGAGCCTGGGCATTCTGGGCTTTTGAAACATCAAAGCCCATCCTTAGTGATATACCTCCTCCAACAAGGCTACACCTCCTAATCCTTCCTAAAAAGTCCACCAACTGAGAACCACACAAACATTCAAATATCTGAGCCAATGGAGACCATTCTCATTGAAATAACTACAGTGCTTAACCACTTAGTTATACCCCAGTTCATTATTTATCTATTTTTTTTTCTTCTTCTCCTTCTTCTTCTCCTTCTTCTTCTTCTTCTTCTTCTTCTTCTTCTTCTTCTTCTTCTTCTTCTTCTTCTTCTTCTTCTTTTTGTTTGTTTTTTGTTTTTTCTAGACAGGGTTTCTCTGTGTAGCTTTGCACCTTTCCTGGAATTCACTTGGTAGCACAGGCTGGCCTCAAACTCACAGAGATCCGCCTGGCTCTGCCTCCTAAGTGCTGGGATTAAAGGCGTGTGCCACCACCGCCCGGCTGCAGTCAGTGATCTTAACCACTGAGGCTTCTTTCTCTCCAGGGCCATCCAACCTCCTTGAGACAGGGTCTCTCTGTAGAGCCCTGGATGTGTCCTGGAACTCAATTATGTAGACCACACTGAACTTGAACCCACAGAGATCTGTCTGTCTCTCCTGCCAAGTGCTGGGATTAAAGGTGTGTGGACCACCATTTCTGTCTGGGTCTTTTTTTTTTTTTAATCCTTACTTAGTTATTTTGAACAGTGCTGGGACTAGAACTAAGACCTTGAGTATTTTGAGCAAGCAATCTGCCTCGGTGAAAGGTAACTTAGACTGGCCTTAAGTCTCCTGTAGTTGCTTAGGTTGGTCTTGAACTCACAATCCTCCTGCCTTTGTCTCCTAAATGCTGGGATCATCGACATGCACTGTCATACCTATTGGTTCAATGCAAGCCCATGGTCTTTTTTATTTCCAGTTTCTCCCCCTCTCCCTCCCCTCCCCCTCCTTTAAATGTTTATGACTTACTCTCAATTATGTGGGTGCCCTTGAAAAATTATATTTTTGTAGCTTTAGAAGTGCTCACGTAGACGTGTACATACCTGTGATCCCATCACGTGGTGAGATGGAGGTAGTGGGGTAGTGGGATCAAGAGCCCAGTGTCATCCTTTGTTACATAGTAAGTTGGAGGCAAACCTGGGCTACATAAGACCCTGTCTCAAAAAACAAAAAACAAACAAAAAAAACAGAGCTAGTCAGATGCCTCTGTAAAATAAAGGTGCTTACTGCCAACTCTTGGAACTTGAGACTTGCATAGTGGAAGGAAGCCCACCACGGTATGCTCGATCTTGCCCCCCAGAATAAATGTGATTGCAAAAAAAAAAAAAAAAAGAAAAAAAGCATGAGAGAAGGTTTGGCTGTTAAGGCTAGGCTCACAACTAAAACATAGAACAAACAAATAAAAAAACAAAACAAAAAAAATCCCACAGCCTCCAGACAAAAAACTTTCCCAGCACTGGGAAACCAGCAACAGGAGGATTGCTGTAAGTTCAAGGCCATCCTGGTCTATATAGCAATTTTCAGGCCAACCAGAGCTATATAGGGAGACAGTATCATAAATAAATATAATAAATTAAAAAAAAAGTGTTGCTGGATGTAGTGGCTTATGCTGATAACCCACAGAACTATGAGACAGAAGGAATGCTATGAGTCAATGAAAGTGTGAGTCTAGCCAGGGCTATCAAGTGCTAGGCCAGCTTAGGCAACATAATGACACCCTGTCTCAATTTCTTCCCCACCGCCCCGCCAGACAGGGTCTCTCTGTGTAGCTCTGGCTGTCCCGGAACTTACTCTGTAGACCAGGCTGGCCTCAAATTCAGAGAGCCACCTGCCTCTGCCTCCTGAGTGCTGGGATTAAATGTGTGTGCCACCACCATCCGGCTAAAGGTTTTTTGAAAGGGATATTGTATTATGAAACTTTTTACTCAATATTTTTGAGGTCTCTGCATGTTCTTAAATTACATTATTTCACAGTAAACGTGACATTCAACTTAATATTACCATGAGGATGGACATCTGTGGGCTGCCTTTATCTCTGTCACAATAAGCATGAACCTAAGCAAGAATCACGCAGGACACATAGTCTGGTTTGGGGCACCTATCTGGGCACAGAGACAAGTTCCTATTTAATTGAAATACAAGCCACATTATAATGCTAGCACCTGGGAGACAGGGGAAGGAGAGTCAAGATTCAAGTTAAGATCCACTAACAGGGCTGGAGAGATGGCTTACATGCAGACAGAATACTGTATAATAAATAAATAAATCTTAAAAAACAAAAAAACCAAAAACTTACATAGTGAGTTCCAGGGCAGCCTGAGGTACACGAGACCCTGCTACCAAACCAACCCATACCAAAAACAAACAAACCCAGCCCAAACCTTTATCTTTCTAGGAGATTTGCCAATCTCTATCTTCCCCTTTCCCCTTGTGAACGGGCATGGTCATCTCTGAACACTCTTTGCCAACACTTAACGCACTCCACACTTCTCTCTCTTCCCTTTTTATGTAGCTCTGGGGTTGAACCTGGGTCCCACTCATGTGAGGCAATGCATTACGGCTGAGACAGTAGCACCAAACTTTTCCGTCTTTGCTGCCCCGAGGAGCCTGAGTCGCTGTGACCTTAGTGTGCTCCTCCCCCACTCCCTCGTTTTTCTCTGGTCTCTAGGGACGCTGCCTGTCCCTTGTATGCTTGTTTGGCATATGGTCTGCTACTAAGTGAATTGTCTTTCCACTGTTCCTCCATTTCCCCTTTTCTGACAGTTGGTGTTTTTGAGACTGGGTCTCAGGTATCCCAGGCTCGCCCGGGAACTCGCTGTGTAGCCAGAATGACTCCACACTTTTGGTTCTCTTGTCTCGCTTCTCCATTGTTAGGATTGTGCGTGACGCCGCCACCCACAGCTTACTTTTATTTCTGTTTCTTGTCGAGCTCCAAAAACTCTTAAATGTTTTAGATATTGACCTCCCCTACTGAGAAGAAGTTGCAAGCTCTCGTCTAGTCTGTTACCCATGAACTCCGTGGTCTCTTTGGACGAAGGGATCTCTCGCTTGGCTTTCCCTTACCTCCCCGGCCCTTGTGATCAGTGTTGAAAGAAGTCAGATGTGACACACGGAGTGCAGAAAACAGGCGGTGGGGATTACAGGCTGTGAAGCATCATGAAAGCTAACAGTGGGCAGTGGAACACTGGAATGCCATGTACGGGACCAGTGGCCAGAGAGACCAGTACGCTTTGGGCAGCTTTCATCAAATTCTCTAGAACAGCCGGCTTTCCTAAGGAATAGTTCCCTAAGGGACCCCCTGTCCACCTCCCCCATACAGTGGCCTTGAACTCACCAAGTAGCTGAGAATGTTTTGGAACGCCTGACTGCCTGTGGGTGACAGACAGACATGCACCACCACTCCCTGCTCTCCTGGATTGACTCTTAGGGAACTAAGTGGTACTGGTATGTCTTTGCTCTTTCCCACCGAGCCTCTGGCTAGACAGTCACATTATGAGCTTTTGGGAAGTTTAGAATGTCATCATGTCTCCATCACAGTTGCCACACAAACGAGGTTTTTTTTAGCATTAAAAAGACCCGACTATCCTGTTTAGATTGCTATCGATCTCAGCGAAACTAAAGTTCGTATTTCAGATTGCTGAGTGAAATTATAAAAGGCTTTCGATTAGGATTGTTAGCTGCGAGCTAAGGGCAAACGACCAATACGCATGCGTGACCCTGACAGGAGCCCACACTTGAGAATGGTAGGATGTTTTAGTTGTTCAGCCTAAAAATGCAACCCTGTGTCTGTATGTGGGTATTGATTACCGTCTCCCCCTATCTCTAGGGCCCAGAGGGTAGTCTCTGCGGCCCTGGGCCGGCTGGATGCTTAGCTGATGGAGTCGGTTGCGCAATCGCGGCTTCTGCTGCACTGAGGCGGGCAGTGCGGTGGAACTCGTTTCCTCCTCAGCCTCCAGATAAAGTCAGAACAGACACCTGGAAAACCACCAGTGTTCTTCCTCAAGGCCGGGAAATTGCGGCCTTTCACCTCTTTTCATCTTGCTCTCTGTTGACGAGAATCTGGAAATATCTTGTGTGTTTTCCTTTAGAGGAAAACCTTAGAGCCCGCAGTACAGCCTGTGGCTGCTCTGAGAGGCAGAGGCATCTAGATTTACATGTCGGTGAGAGTTTAATTCTTTAGCGGAAGTGACGCATTCGTACTGCTTCTATGAGGCTGTGACGTTTCTGCTGAGAGGATGCCGCCGCTGCCCAGTGTTCTTCCTGCACTGAGATTTATTCAACTTTATTTTCTGAAACAGGGTCTCATGTAGCCCAGGCTGGCCTCGAACTGGATGTGTAGCCAAGGATGATCTTGGAGTGATTATCTTGCTTTCACCTCCCGACTGCCAGATTACAGGTATAGGCCACCATCCGTTCTCACACCTGGCTCAGACTTAAATTTGACTTTTTTTTACTCTTCCAGGGAAGTTGTATTTCTAATGGTGGGATGTGGCTGTAAGACAAGTCAGGGAATCTGCTTTGCAACAGGTGCTAAATTCAATAGCCGACCAGAGTCTGGAGAAAGACGTAAGGGCTAAAACTAACTGCAGACCTCGGTGTCTACATTTCTTTCATGAGCCTGGTTTCTGAGGTCAGCTGGCAACTCATCTCCATCAGAGAGCCCAGACCATCCAATCCTCAGCTTTCTGTCACTGTTTATTTTTTCTTCAGGCCTTTCCCTGGAGCAGTTTATACATAAGCATATGTTTTTTGGTTTTTCGAGACAGGGTTTCTCTGTAAAACAGCCCTGGCTGTCTTGGAACTCACTCTGTAGACCAGCCTGACCTCGAACTTAGAGATCCACCTGCCTCTGCCTCTCCAGTGCTAGGATTAAAGGTGTGGACCACCAAGCCTTGCTGCTGGCAGGTTCTTAAGAAAGAAGATTGTTCTTTTCAGAACTAGGACCAGCAGAAGGATGGCAATAGAGTTTTTTTTTTTTTCTTTTTTCAGTTTTCTGGATGAAACTTGGTTCTCACACATACTCAGCAAGTGCCCTATGTGCTACATCTCCAGTGAGAGTAGCCATTTCTGATGCTGCCTCACTTCCCATTTTATAGCTGAAGGATGGCTTCAGGAGGATGCAGAAAAGATGTAAAACAGCCATTGTGGACAGAACAGTCAGATACAAAAGTTAACGCAGAGGGAGCTGGAGAGAAGGCTCAGACTTAAGAGCACTGGCTGCTGCTCTAGCAGAGGACCTGGGTTGAATTTCCAGCACCCACAGGGCAGCCCACACCCACCTATAACTCCATTCTAGGGCAGCCAAGCACGAAAGCGGTGCCCAGATGAAACACCCATGCCATACACGTAAGATAAAATAAATTAAAAACACAAAAAGTTAATGCAAAAGGATTTATTTTGATGATTTATAAAAGAAATGTCACATGGCAACTTAACCTATATTTACAAATTTAAAAATAAATTTATATAAATGTATTTACAACATGTTCTATTAACCAAGTTCATTAAAATGTTACAGATAAGCGCTGAACGGATACAACAGTAGGTAAGGCAGGCTTTCAATCCTTAGGTGCTCTTACAGTATGCCCAACAACCAGCAGACACTGGTCAGGAGAAGCTGCCGGAAGCTGACTTCAGGAAGCATGGCAAAGGGGATTCCCCAGCTTCGGGTGCCCTTTAGCTCTGTTTTGCTGTTGGATGGAACAGAGTCCTAGGTATGTGCTTTACCACTGAGCCAAACCCCCAGCCCTGAAAGTCACTTTAAAGTGTAACCAGAAGCATAAATCAAGACAGACTGAAGAAAAAAATGTAAAGCATTTAAAAAAAAATTCTAATGTAGCTAGAAAAACTGAATGTAAACATTTATGCTCTGATTCGTGTGCAAGTCATTTTAATCAAGGATGATGTTATCTGCGACTGGCTGGGCATCCCACTTTGCTTTGTAAGTCACCTGCCGGTAATCAGGCCTGGGTGCTGGCAAGGGCAGGCTGGCAGTGTTAGGACAGTAGCTGTGGATCCGACTGCTGGGGTCCACTTAGGGCTTTATCTACACGTTAACAGCCAGGGGGAAGGAGTGCCGGCCAGACACTTGGCATTGACCCGGCCCTTGGAAGCCGCCTCTGATAACTGCTGGGCATTCCAGCCCCGAAGCCAGGGAGGGAATGCTTGGCAGCTGCCTGGGCATGGATCCCTTGGTCCAGCTGCCAGGCCAAGGCTTACAGGGGCTGGTGGCTTTATGGAGATGTTAATGAGATCTATGTGTTAGGGAGAGCTGGCAACAATTTTTATGAGGGCAGTAGACAAAAACAGGCATCCAACAAGATCTGAGATGATTATCTAATTTAACTAAACAAGTGTACTAGTGAGGGAGGGTCCATTTCAGCTTCATTTCTTAAGCCAGTGGTTCTCAACCTTCCTAACGCTATGACCCTCTAATACAGTTCCTCATGTTGTGGTGACCAACCATAAAATTGATATACTGCTACTTCATAACTATAATTTTGCTACTGTTATGAGGCATAATGTAAATGTGTTTTCTGATGGCCTTAGGTGACTCCTGTGAAAGGGTCATTTGACTCCTAAAGGGGTCATGAGCCACAAGTTGAGAACCTTGTCTTTTGTTGTTGTTGTTGTTGCCCTGGCTGTCCTGGAACTCACTCTGTAGACCAGGCTGGCCTCGAACTCAGAGATCCACCTACCTGGGATTAAAGGCGTGCGCCACCACTGACCAGCCGAGAAACACTGTCTTAAACCCTCCCTTATACCATGCTGCCTAACGTGCAGCTGGGTATGTGAACCCCAATATAAAGTCTGGCAGATACATTATTAATAATTAAAAACAGCTCATTTTAAATAATCTCGCAACTCGTAACATTTCATGATTACCTTAAAAATGGAATACAAGTACTATTTTTCTCACATAGAATGCTTACACGTTAAAATACCAAAGGCACTTTCAGTTTACATGATAAATAAAAGTACACTAGTTGTTATTTGTTGTCGTCTTCAGTTTCTGTGTCCGTGGTGGTCACTGAGAGCCCAATTCTGCACCTCCCCTTTGGCAAAAAGCATGAAGAAAACGGCACCAAACACGTTAATAGCAGCAGCGATACAGAACACAGTCTGCCATTCTCTGATAGTGTTCTGGACAAGGAAGGAAAACGCAATGGAAACATTTGTATTAGAAAAAAAAAAAAAAGATGATATTGCAAGGCTGTGAGAACAGAAACGTCATTCCTAAAAGTCTGTACTTGGAACAAACCAAATACTCAGCAGCAGCAGGAACAGCAGGACGGTGGAGCGTTTTGTTTGTTTGTTTGTTTGTTTTTCGAGACAGGGTTTCTCTGTGTAGCTTTGCGCCTGTCCTGGAACTCACTCTGTAGACCAGGCTGGCCTCGAACTCACAGAGATCCGCCTGGCTCTGCCTCCCGAGTGCTGGGGTTAAAGGCGTGTGCCATCACTGCCCGGCTGAGCATTTCTTTAGTACAGGATCAAATGACTGAGGATGAACCAGTTGTACCAATATAGACAGACATAAGCAAAATGACAGACGGACACAGTGCACTGACAACTGTTTTTTTTTTTCTGTGACTGTTTCTATAAAAAGCTCAGACAAGGCTAATGGCTGTTGCTCTGGGTGGTGAGCAAGGAGTACTAGCTTGCTGAGGGGCGGCGTTCTGCTATGTGGGTAACAGCTGCCTGGAAATATCGTTGTTTCACTATGTCTTCAGCTGTATCATTAGGATTTGTGAATCTGCAACTTGTCTTTACAGAACTAAGTTCTCTCCTGTCTCTTTTCTTTCCTTCCTTTCTCCCTCTCTCCTTTCTCTGAGACAGCTTTCGTTATGTAGCCCTGGTTACGGCTGGTCTCAAACTAGTGGCAATCCTCCTGCCCTTGCACCCTTAGTGCTGGTTTCAGGGAGGCGAAACTGTGTCTGGCTTATCCATTTATTTGCTTTTGGGATGATCACATGCGGCCTAGGCTGGCCCTGATCTTGCTATGGAGCTCAATTCCTTCGTAGCAGCATTGTTTCCTTAGCCAGCCTGACCCATATACTGGGTTCCAGGCTAACGACCTTCACTTAATTCTGTTATTCTGCCTAACCCCCAAAGAGTGCTCTGTGGAAACAGTATACTTTTTTCTTTTATTGTGCTGGAATTATGGGTATACTCCATTATGCCCAGTTTTACATTGGGGATGAAACCCAGGGCTTCATGCATTCCAGGAAAGCATTCTACTAACCGAGGCACATCTCCATCCTGAAAACAGTATGCTTTCCTATCCCTAATGAAGGGAGCAGGCAAAAGCACCTTGGCCTAAATACAGCCATTTTGACTTCAGACTCCATTTTACCTGCAGGGTGAAACAAAGTTCAAGTTCCCAGGCCCTAGGGGAGCTGGGAACCTTCCACTAGCTGATCAACCTCCTCCTTAGACAATAGAAACAGTCTGCTATGCCCCTTAGTTCTCTAAGACATTATGGCTGTTCCTTACAACAGAAACAACAAATGAATCTGATTGGTTGGACTAAAAGGCTTATATTTCTGTCGGTTGACAGTGATGGACCACACAAGGAAATTCCCTAATCTTTGACTCCTGATTGGTGAAAAGTGTAACTGTCACATAGCAACAAATGCTTGTGGTTTTTGTGCTTATAAACCCTGCTTCTGTCCCTGCTGGGGGCTGCCAGGAGAAACAAGGCTCCCGAGTCCTTGTCCTGCAGCCCTGATTGATCAGTGACCCGCTTGTGTGGTGGTTTATTAAAGTCTTTGGAACCCGTAAGTGTTGTCTCTCTCCTTCCTCATGGTGCACAGGGACAGGGTGGAACACTAAGGTATGTGATTTTTTAGTCACTGACCCGTATCCCCAACCAATAAAGTAGCAGCTTTCAACAAACTTTATTTTATATTGTATTTTTGTCACAAAGAATTTCATCAAAGGTTGGAGAGTTGGCTCAGTGGTTGAGAACACTTGCTGTTCTTGTAGGGAACCTGAGTTTGGTTTCCAGCACCCACATAATGGCTAACAACCACACTCACATGATGCCTAATGATCTCCTGTAACTACAGGGCCATAGAATCCGATGCCCTCCCTCTTCTGGCTTCCTTGGGCACTGCATGCATATGGTACATAGCCATAACATTCAGGCAAATCACCCATATATATATTTAAAAAAAAAAGAATTTCATAAGGAATAAACACTCAGAATTTTATCATTACAATACACCAAATTTGACAGAGATGTGAAAACTCCCAAATCTTTTTAGTTTACAAGCAAAATTTCTACTTACATCAGGGGTCAGGGTTTTAGCAATGATGGGCCCAATCATTCCTGGAATAGTGGCAAATGTGTTTGTGATGCCCAGGAGGATACCAGCATACCTGGGGAGAGAGTTTCACAGAGGCTTGGGTTATAGGTCGGCTCCTTTCAGACAGCTCCTTCATTCTGTCTTCATGAAACGACTCACTAAACCAGGATTTTATATTTAACAAAAGCCTTGCATGTAGTTATTTTAAGGTCCAGGGGGTATCTATGCCTGAGCAAGAAAATCAGCCTTAGAGACAGGTGGGTCAGTTCAGTTTAGAGCAGATAGGTCAGGAGCAGAGCCTTTATGAGACTGCCTATATTGATTTCCTTTTTTTTTTTTTGGTTTGGTTTTTCGAGACAGGGTTTCTCTGTATAGCTTTGTGCCTTTTCCTGGAATTCACTTGGTAGCCCAGGCTGGCCTCGAACTCACAGAGATCCTCCTGGCTCTGCCTCCCAAGTCCTGGGATTAAAGGCGTGCGCCACCACCGCCCGGCGACTGCCTATATTGAGTTAGCAATAAAAATAAATGACCACAAAGGCCCATAAAACACCACAGAGAGCAGGGTGGTGGTGGCGCACACCTTTAATCCCAGCACTCGGGAGGCAGAGGCAGGGGGATCTCTGTGAGTTCCAGGCAAGCCTGGTCTACAGAGTGAGTTCTAGAACAGCCAGGGCTACACAGAGAAACCCGTCTCAAAAATCAAATCAAAACAAACAAAACAAAACAAAACAAAAAAAGAGTTTAAGGCAAGCCTGGGCTACATACCAAGTTTGAGGTTAGCCTGTTTTAAAACAAAGAGCTGGTCAGTGGTGGCTCATGCTTTTAATCCCAGCACTTGGGAGGCAGAGGCAGGCGGATCTCTGTGAGTTCAAGGCCAGCCTGGTCTACAGATCGAGATCCAGGACAGGATCCAAAGCTACACAGAGAAACCCTGTCTCAAAAGACCACCCCACCCCCACCCCACCCCCCCCACCCCCCGCAAAAAAAAAAAAAAAAAAAACAACAAAAAACCAAAAAAAACCAAAGAAAGAAAGAAAGAAAGAAAGAAAGAAATTGCCGGGCGGTGGTGGCGCACGCCTTTAATCCCAGCACTCGGGAGGCAGAGGCAGGCGGATCTCTGTGAGTTCGAGGCCAGCCTGGGCTACCAAGCGAGTCCCAGGAAAGGCGCAAAGCTACACAGAGAAACCCTGTCTCGAAAAACGAAAAAGAAAAAAAAAAAAAAAAAAAAAAGAAAGAAAGAAATTATATGTTGGAGTGTAGCTCAGTAGTAGAGCCCTTGTCCAGTAAGTTGTGGTCCTGGATTCCAATCTCTAGCAGCTAGAAGTAGCTATTTCCTGGTTATGAAGTTGAATTATTTTTTTTTAATTTACATATTTTTATTTTTATTTTTTTTTTGGTTTTTCGAGACAGGGTTTCTCTGTGTATCTTTGCGCCTCTCCTGGAACTCACTTGGTAGCCCAGGCTGGCCTCGAACTCACAGAGATCCGCCTGGCTCTGCCTCCCGAGTGCTGGGATTAAAGGCGTGCGCCACCACCGCCCGGCCCCACATATTTTTATTTTTTGTGTGTGCTTGTGTGTGTGTGTGTGTGTGTGTGTGTGTGTGTGTGTGTGTGTGTGTGCCACAGTATGCTAGCAGGGGTCAGAGGCCAACTTTTGGGACACGGCTCTCTCTTTCCACCATGCGTATTTCAGGGACCAATTTCAGGTCACCACGCTTAGTGACAAACTTATTGACACACAGAACTATTTCACCAGCTCCCTGAACTAAAATAATTTGAAAATTATATAGACAAGAAAAAAATTAAGGAAGTAAAAATCTTTAATTCTTTCATATAGAAATAATCACTTAATTAGCACCTTGGTAAATATCCTCATTACTGTTTGCGTATGCTTATATTTCCAAGTATGTAATTAGACATGAGATCATATTAAACATATAATTTCACAATTCACTTGTTTCACTAATTTGCTGACACTTAAATCTTCATACAGATCCTAATAGACAAGTTAGGTCTACCCTGTGCATGTGACAAAGATTTTCAAAATAAGTTTGGGAAAGTATTCTCAAACAAGTGATTTATTTTAAGGGTAAATCTTAGTAAATCAGATATTCTTATCAATGTTTAGATAAAAATCTTTAAAGAATTTCTGTCTGAACTGGTGAGACAGCACACGCCTTTAATCCCAGCACTTGGGAGGCAGAGGCAGGAGGATCTCTGTGAATTCTAGGCGAGTCTGGTCTACAAAGTGAGTTCCAGGACAGCTCAGATTCCCGTCTCAAAACAAAACAAAAGCCCCCAAACTCAATTCTGTCCTGTTGTTCAATATGCTATATTTAAGAAGCATGCCGACTAAACAAGGCTGCCGTGGCCAAGGCCTTCACGGATTTCCATCCCATGAAAAACAAAGATTTATCATCTGTAGAGGCCTACTGTAAGTCAGCAGGAACATGAAGACGCCTGTTAACTCCACCATTCAGAGTATGTGTGACCGTGGGCCAGCCAACAACAAACTATTTCTCTATTATCTTCAGGTTCTCACATAGAGGTGTATTCCCTTTATTCTATCAGATTTACTAAGGGAAAAAAGTCCCTTTTAAGGGACTGGGGATATATCTCAGTTGGTAGAGAGCTTAGCTAGCATGTAGGAAGCAATGGGTTGGATCCCTAGCACCTCATAAACCTGAGTTTGGGCTAATGAGACCAACCACCACCATGACCACCATGACCAAGACCACCGTCACCACATAGCACATACATGAAAAAAGTATATCCCATCAATATATAGCTTGTTACATTTTCCCAAAGTGAAACCATGCATCTCGTACTTCGTCAAGAAACAGACTACGGCTATAAACATTTTTACTATTACTATTTTGAGCAGAGCAAATGTAATTTATTATTTAGAAATCTTTATCATTTTTATTTATCTGTATGTACTGGCATGAGTGTATGTGCTCCACATGTGTACAGGTGCCTGAGGTGGGACAGAATGTTTTGACTCTACTAGAACTAGTCATAGCCGGTGGTAAAACTCCTGACGTGGGTGATGAGAACTGGATCTAGGTCTAACGGAAGAGCAGTTAAGTGCCCTTAGCCACGGAGACATCTCTTCAGCCCCAAATGTAGACTTATGAAAAAGTGATGAAGGCTTCTGGATGGGAGGGGTCCCAAGGATACCCTATCATTAAACTCTGTTTTAAAAGTTTTATGTTTATATGTATGAGTGTTTTGCCTGCAGGTATATGTATACCACATGCCCTCAGAGGTCAGAAGGGGGAGTCAGATTCCCCTGGAACTGTAGTTATGGATGGTGCTGGGACTGAACTCAGGTCCTTTGCAAGAACACGTATTCTTAACCATTTGAACCATCTCTTTAGCCCTCTTATTATTAAATTTTGAGGCAGATCAGGCTGGCCTAGAATCTCTGTTCCTCCTACCTCCTGAGTGGTGGGATTCCAGGTGTACACTACCATACACCCACTCATAAAGAGTTGTTTACCACCGAGTGGTGGTGTCCTCCTTTAATCCCAGCACTCGGGAGGCAGAGCCAGGTGGAGCTCTGTGAGTTCGAGGCCAGCCTGGTCTACAGAGTGAGTTCCAGGATAGGCTCCAAAGCTACAGAGAAACCCTGTCTCGAAAAACCAACCCCCTCCCCCCCCAAAAAAGAGTTGTTTACCAAGAACAGGTTGTAATACAGATTTAAGCACAAGGCATGAAAGTCCTTAGGGAAGGACAGTACACACCCCCAAGAGTGGGACATAGACCATGCAAGAGGGTCAGCTACAAACTTTTTGAGACAGGATTTCTTTTTTGTTGTTGTTTTTGTTTTTAGAGACAGGGTTCCTCTGTGTAGCTTTGCACCTTTTTCTGGAACTCACTTTGGAGACCAGGCTGGCCTCAAACTCACAGAGATCCGCCTGCCTCTGCCTACGAGTGCTGGGATTAAAGGCCTGGGCTACCACTGCCCAGCTGCTTTCTCATTTTAAACGGAATGGCTCCTAAAAAGAAGAAGAAGAAGAAGAAGAAGAAGAAGAAGAAGAAGAAGAAGAAAGAAGAAGAAGAAGAAGAAGAAGAAGAAGAAGAAGAAGAAGAAGAAGACAAAAGCAATACTAATTCTGCTGTGCCTAATCCAGCTATCTACAAACATCCACTTTTTTATGCTTTAAGCCCATACACAAACCATATAATAATTAAGCCAAGATCTTTTTGGCTCATTCTCCCCAGGGAGCACATCCTAAATTAACCAAGCTTGGCAGGCAGGACCTCTCCCCGCCCACCCCCTCTTTAAACCATTAGCACCTTGGCAGGAGGAGGAGCCAGCTGCCATGCTGTCAGGCCTTTTCACTGACAGATCCTAAGTCCGGAGGAATGCCGTGCAGTACTAAATGTCAGCACCAAGAAGCCCATTCAACTATTTATATTATCCTTGGCCAGGAAGTGTCACAGAAGACTGATGGGGAAACACGCTGACAGATTCAGTCAGTATTCTCTGGTACTGAAATTCGAGATGCCTGTTGACATAGCAACTGACAATCTATCCAGGTTCCGGGCAACAAAACTAACCACAGACAAATCATGGTTTCACCCATAGCACAATCCCAGCAAGCAGGATGTTGAGGGAGGGGATCGCTACAAGTTTGAGGCTGGCCTATTTCGAAATGAAACAAACAAACAAACAAAATCTTGGAAAATACCATGAGTACACTCCATGTTAATAGGAATATTGACTATCTGTTGGGAGACCTATGAGGAAGGGTTTATAAGGACTTCACACATTGTTATCTAATAGTAAGATCAGCTCTGTGAAGGCTCAGGAGAGATGGCTCAGTGGTGAAGATGAGAATTTGAATCCCAGCCCCCAGGAGATAAGACAAGCAGGGCATCCCTGAAAATGCCTATACCTCCAGCTTCAGAGCAAGTGCAGAAGCCAAGACGGCTGGGGCTTGCTAGCCTAGCCAAGAGGGTCGCAGCTGGCGCTCTCTTCTGGCTTCTGGATGCACACGGCTCATTCAGGAGCTGCGGCTCTGCTGCAGGGATTCTGCGTGTCCTTACCACCTTTATCTGAGAGGAG